CGGAAGATACCATACATGCCGAGATCTTTGTGACACCTTCAGGTGTAACCCCTCTTCGCCCCTTCGGGTGTAGACAAGTGAAAGGTATGTTGGGTAAAATGACATGAACCTACAAACCCGCTCAGACTAGGCCGTGTTCTAAACTCTTCATTGCCCTCCACAGCGACGTGCCGATTGCTCCTTGCGGACCATTCAGCGCTCTTCCATAGTCTCGCTCGACTATTGTCTGCAGGTTGTTCGTGGGACACGTTAACTCGTAGCTCCTACCCACTAGCCTCAGGATTGTCTCATTTCCCTGTGTCTTGTCTTTCTAGACTATCTTCACCGTGGCGGTATGTTCTTCCCTGTCCCTACCTCCCCTTTCACCCTTCCAATCCAACCTTTTCCCCCTGGGGTTAAGAATACCTACTACACAACCCACCCATCTCCCCTCGTGCCTGTCTTGTCTCCACACCACCCCATCGTCGAATCAGAGGCATGGCACCGGCATTCAATATCCCCCCTGGATCGGCCGAACTCCCATGTCTCGTCCGCCCTCACGTGTCTTCGAGATTCCTAGAGCTGACTTGATGTCTGTCTAGAGCCCCTTGGTCCACCACTTCTTTAAACGGCCTGTTTCCCGGCCACTTCAGTCATTTCTTGCCCCCAAGTCGATTCTGCACCGCGGCCTCCCCAGCCACAGCCACTCTTTCCCGGACATCGACTCAACACCCTCCTTCTAATACTAATATTCTAATCGCTCGGTTGGAGGATATTCTTATCGACACTCCCTTGTCTCCACCGCATCTTCACTCTCTAAAACTGTCTGCCTTCCTGCCTTCGACCTCAAAAGCTTCCTGGAGAACTTGACGAGTCCACCCTTTGACCTCAACAACAAACACCTCTTTGACCCATCCGCCTTGCCCAGCATGGCGTTCTATCAACAGGCACAGGCACAGCAGCCTGACGTTGCCTTCTTCACCGAGATGATGGACGAGCCCCAACGTCCTCGCATGGGAACCAGAGACGCCGCCAAGATGATCGCAAGGCAACGACAAGAAATCATCGCCAACGAACTGTCTCGATTGGCAGGTGACGAGTACCTCGAAGATATCATGAAGCACATGAGGCACATGGAGGTCAGTGAACGGAAACCTCTTTCCTCTTGTCGTACCTGCCTCTAACATTATCGCCAGGACGAGACTTTGCCCGATGCGAACCTGATTGATATGCAGCGCGAGATTCAGTGGTACATGAGGCCGTACCTCATCGACTTCCTCATTGAGGCCCATGCTGCCTTCGCCCTTCTCCCGGAGACCCTGTTCCTCACTGTCAACCTTCTCGACAGGTACTGTTCCAAGAGAGTCGTCTACAAGCAGCACTACCAGCTTGTCGGATGCGCCGCGCTTCTCATTGCCGCCAAGTACGGAGACAAGAAGGATCGCGTCCCCCAGATTCACGAGCTCAACAACATGTGCTGCGGACTCTACGACGCTGGCATGTTCACTCAGATGGAGATGCATGTGCTCAACACGTTGGAATGGACGATTGGTCACCCAACCGTGGACTTCTTCTCGCAACTGATTGTAGCAGAGGAGCATGACAGGGTCGAGGTTGAACACATGGCCGCATACATTTGCGAGATTGCGCTGTACCACCGCGATTTCGTTTCATCAAAGCCCTCGGTCATGGCGCGCTCATCACTAGCCCTGGCCCGCGCCATCCTGGGTGAGCCTGAGGTCAACGATGGCGAGTGGGATCACGTCGACAATATCACGTTGCTGACTCTCTCTCAACACCTTCACCAGCCTCCGTCGCCCTGTCAG